TCAAAGACTTGTGGCCTTAATATCCTGCTTAGAAGGGTGCCTGCAAAAAAGGGCACCCTTCTGACGTCTGTAAACTGTCTGACCTGTGTGATGTCACCAGGTTGGCAGATAGAGTGAATATTTTCATGCTATAGCCGTTGCAATGAGAATTCCCCATCAGTCCGGCACAATGTTATTGAAATGATGGCTGAGGTGAGTGGCCTGTGCTGCCACATGAAAAAAAAGTTGATTGAATTAGTGAAGATTTCTCCATTTCCTTCAGTCGAGATGTTTGGGCCTCATCTCTCCACCTGGAGCTATGTAATCAACAGCCTTGATGCTCCTGGTGCTGCTGCTTTGCAACAAATGTCTGTGCAGAACAACAGCCTCCAAGAGCTGTTTGGCAACTGGGTATGGCATCACTGTATCTCACTGTTGATATTCGTAGGAGCCTCCTTGTGTATTTTCTAGTATTTTCCAGTTAAATACATCTCTCACCTGTATCATTTTCATTTGGGGTGCATAATTCTTAATGAGTAATAGTTTCACAATGACTTGGGCTCCAGCCCCGGGAAACACTATCAGTGCATGAAATTACTGAACTAGACAGGAAGGAGGAATATTGGCTGTTCACAAACTGGTATTTATTCTAGCAAAAAGTAGAACCATGGTTGATCACATTAGCCCTTGTACAATAACTTCGGAGCATGTGGGAATACCCAGAGCACCTGACATTTCTTGGCTCCATTTTATTTTGCTACAGTCAGAGTTGTTTGCAAATGATGTATCTAAAGTCTAGAAGATTTAAAGATCACCAAAAAGATAGGTATATAATCTATGCTTCCTTCCTAAGACCCACAATGAATTTCTATGTTATTTTTAGTACATATCGAACATTTATTACCTATCCATTCATGTTTTGCAATGAGAAATCCCATTTTTTTCCTATTTGCTATACATAGTAGTAACTAAAATAAAAATAACATTTATTTATAATTTAAATATCATTTTCAAGCATGGTTGAAAACAACAGATTCCTTACTGTAGTATGTTTGTTCTTTTTACCTTTTCCTAACTTGAGATAATTCTGCTGAAAATTTTCATTACTAGTAACTGCAGAATGGCATTTTGTATTTTGGTGGAAAAAAAAAAACACTAAATTATTTGGCCCACTTGAGAATAAAGCAAGGGAAAAAAAGGCATCCTCATTTAGTGAAAAAAAAAAAAAATCCTGAGCAGTTACCCCTCCCATTTTGTACACCGGGGCTTCAAACTTCAACAGAGGAGGCCTTGGAGGTGCCTGAATGGAACCACTCTTCTCTGTGCTGCTGAAGGTGTCTGCATGGGATTGCTTGAATATTGAAGTGGAGGGATAGCCAGAGAAAGGAGAATTAGGCTTGTAGAGTGGAGGCTACAAGATCGTCTAGGCAGCAAGAGTAGGAAAACCAGAGGGAGATATTTTCAATTGTGGAGAAAGTGAATGTGGAAGAGGGGAAGCTTGGTAAGGACTGGGAACTATGCTGCCCAACAGCAGAGTTTTCTGAACTAAACACCTGGGGGACCAGAGCCTCAGAGTATGATCTGCTGAGATGCATCAGATGTGACTGGAGGTAAGGGAACTTGGGAATGAAGAGACTTGGAAAGGATGAGCGGAAGATAAAACTGAAGGAAGCTGGAAGAAACCTCTCACCTGCAGAGGACTCAAGATGCCCAAGTCCAAGCAATCTTCTATTGGTCAACAAGCCGTCTTTAAGTGACAGCTTAACCCTGTGCTGGGAAATGATATTCCAAGCGTGTGATTTTAGAAACACTGTTACACAAAGCAATTTCTGGTTTTGATGAATTTCTTTGATTTTGTAATCCTTGTACCTTCTCTCATGCACCAGAGAGGATGAGCTAATCTTTGGGAAGAAACCAGGTGCAGAAAGAGCTCTTGTGACTGCAGGAGTCCATGTTAAGTTGGTTAGATGCCTGTTTGCAGAAAGGTGGGTTTAATTGTTCAGATAATCAAGAAGTGCCCCAAGAAAATGGATGCTGTTGTAGTAGGTGGCTAGTAAGAGATCCCAGTGAACAAAATACTGTAGGTTCAGGTAATTAAAGCAATCTTAATAGAAGTATTTCCTTCTATTTTTAGAATGTGCAACTTCTCCTATGGTTAATTACATGAAAAGGGCAAGAGACCTTAAACTTTGGCAGGATTCTTCTACTGTGCATAGACAAGACCAAACTGAAGGAGTCTGTTCTCGAGGTAGGTCTGTACAGTAAATATTGACATAGTACAGGTCTCTTGCAGAATTTCATGTCTTATTTTCTTTAATGTCTGGTTGAGTTTGTGTTGCTCTGGCAACTGAAAAAACACCCAACATCCCCAAACAACTAACTTTTCTTCCATGCAAGTGTTCATACATGAATTAGGCATGAATTTGACATGAACTTAAAGCTACAATTTTATCAGCTTCAAAAAAGAAAAAAAAAAAATCCTTCAAGCATGTCACCCCTGCTGAAAACAAACAAAAACCACACAGAGTCATTTAGGATTACCTATTTATTTCAGTTAAAACAAACGTACAATGTTTCATTGAAACTGTTGCACTCCCTGCCAACAACTGTAGCTGGACTGTTGGCCTCTGACAGTACAGTGGCTATTTACATATGTACAAGGGTGTACCGTAGGATGCCTGAAGTTGATGGCCTAACACATATGCTAGATCATAAGGGTTGTTAAGTCACAGCCTTCGGGAAATTGTAACATCCATGGTAAATCTTGTATGAGGATCATACATGAACTCGAACAATGCTTTATGGACCCACGCGTTTATGGACTCCTGTGTTTACTGCAACATATACATTTGTAATAAATACAGTCTTAGTGTTTTTTTTGTTTTTATCTTTTTATACACCTTAGGTGTAAACACATTATTTCCACTTTGTAAGCACTAGATGGTGTTGTAAAAGAACCTTTCCTTTGACATTTCTTATACAGATGTACAACATGAACAACTCATTGAAATGATGCAATAATCAATAATGAGAGAGGAATATATACACAGATCCCAAATCCCAGACCTACATTATATACACTATACTTACAGTATATACACACATACAGTTTATGTACACAGACTATCATAAATATCGAAAAATAGGTTTAGTTTAAATGGATTAATGTTTTATAAATAACATGTTACACTTATGACTGAAATACCATGGAAGACAGTAATGTCTAACTGAGGTGACAAAACAGTGGTTTAATACTGAAGCTGCTCTTTCAGGTGGTTTGTTATTTAGGTAACTTTTAAGCAGACAGGTTTGAACAATTCTTGTACTGGAAATCAGCCCAGCCAAGTGGAACTCAACTGCAGCAGCTGGAGAGTCAGTCATCACATATGAGATACATCATGTAAAATCCACAAGTTGCTACATTAAGAGAATTAAGAAGTGACACACACGATACAGCACAAGGAGCTGTCACCACAAAGCCTTCCTCCTCTCTGGCTGCTGAGAGGGACTGTGCAGTAACTTCCCATCACTGCTCTACTCCTCTTCCTCCTGCGTGGTTACTGTGAGGAGGGAGGCCGTTTTTCAGTCCTATTTTAGTGCTGCCAAGGGAAGCGCTTCATCCCTTATGTGCTACAAATTGCTCAAAGGCAGAGAACATTTTAATCCTCTCCCACCTTTATAGATATGCAGACGGCAAGAGGAAAAGCTGCCGAGTGCCGAGGCGCGTGCCGAGCACACCCGTACACGGTCAGGTAACACGGTGTCAGGTACCTGAGGCAGAGAAGTACCTAGGAGCTATAGTCAGTGCTGACTCCAGGACTGTTACTTGCCAGTTGAGTACCACTGGACTAAAGATACAAACGAGACAAGAGGAATCTAACTTCTCATTATAGCTGTATATTACAGAAGTAGTGACCAGTAGTAATAGTCATGCAAAAATATTGATACAAAATACTTGCATTTTTCACAGATTTTAAATGTCTGGGCAGAGATCGACATTACCTGACAAATAGTGACTATAATTTAGGTTTGTTCCCAATGGATTCTACATGAGCAAACATCTCAGGAGCTGTTTAATGTATGGATTACATGCCCTTACTTGTTCCCTGTGACACAACTACTAAGCAAACCTTTGTAAATCATATTTTTGGAACATTTTAGGCTAGATGAAGACAGCTGATCACATTACCATGACTATTTCATTAATAATCTCTATCTAGGCTCTTGTACCCAATATTGTGGTGTCTGAGCACCTCTTATAAGCCAAGTATGCTGTTATACAAGTGTTATTTCTCTTCAGCCTGGGATAAGAATGAAAGAGTAAACATGCAGTAGAAACAAAACAGCTATCACAACCATACAGCACCTGTTTTATTATCTAGCTAGCTAGCGTTCATATGAAACCTACTATTTCTGAAGCAAACAAGTATGAGATGACTACCCAGTCTATGAGGTTATCTTCAGTACTACTATACAGTATAAATTGCAAGAGGAATCCCAGTTGTGTATGTGAAGAGTTTGTACCAAGCATGGTGCAGTTATTTTCTGGATTTGACTTATAAACAAAATAGTCAAGTAATTCATAATCCAATAATGGATGAGTAATCTGAGAAACTCTGTACAGTTTTTGAGTATTATACAACTAGTGAACTACATTAGTAGCTTAATAAAATTTTTGTTTTCTTACGCCATGTTCCAAGACAGATTGGGCAGAAAAAAAACCCCAAATATAGCTACAACTGACAGTGGACCTTACAAACGGCTAAGTAAAACTCCAAGAAGGAGTTTTCTATTCATGGCATGATGTGCTGCAATGCCATTCATAGGTTATATCTGCAACTGAAAGAAAACAAACAAACAAACAAAAAAACCCTGTTTCACCCAATTGCACTATTGAGTACCTCAAGAAGGGAAATGTCAACACCATCTTTTTAAGTTCTACATTAACAATTTTTTTCTCAGATCTACCCACTCTGAATTGTTTTTAAAGCTTTAAAATTTGAGTTTCCATAGCATTTTCAGAAACTAAGATAAACTGTAGTTACTTAGGTACACTGAGTAAAGACATTGAGAATTATTTTCACTATACTTCAAGTTAAGTGAATTCCATCAAAAGTATTTGTAATTAAGAGGATTTTGACTTAAATTGGTTCTTCTTTTCTGTTTTGGTCATTAGATTACTTTTAAAAATAAGACTCCCTCTAATTTTGCCTCTAAAGAAAGGCAAATTATATATAATTCAGGACACCAATTAACTATTTTATGAGCTCTTTCATTCTCCTTAGAAAAAAATGTTTCTTAAAGTCAAAATAGTGCGTTTGAGGTCCATAAGAATTTTTGGTACAAAAAATAATAGTGTTTCTCTCTCTCATTGGTTATTCAAACACTTTGCTGTAAATTATGAGTTATTTCTCACATCAAATGGTTCCATTAGGCACATTCAAGTAAAATAACAAAATATCCAAGTAACAATGACAAAAGCCAAACATGGCTCGATAAAAGTCTACAGAGAGTTCTGTCCATTCTCTGGAATGGAATAAAATCGCCACTTCCTTCAGCCAGACAATCCTGTGGTTTGATGTTAATATCCATTTCCATCATGCAGAATAGTTTCTTAAAGACAGAATTCAGGTATTCTACAGTCAGAAGAACCAGCAACAAAGAATCTGCATTTTAAAGGAAGCCGAATAGCTCATTTTCACTCTTGGTAGGTATCTGAGTGAACACTGGCATTTGAAGTGGAGTTTTAGAGATTAAACCAGGAAAATTAATGGCCATCAGATGCATCACTGTGGGTCCAATCTAAAATAATCAGTGTCATACACCCAGTCATCACAAGTATACCACTCAGAAAGAAGAGCGCAGCCTGGAAAGAGAAAAAGTGAAACACTTCAGTTTCTGCTACTAAACCTACAAAGTCATGCCCACTGTGGCACAAATCCCAGCCCTGTGCTTAAGATTTGAATTGCTCACCAAGGAAGGAATGACTACCAAAAAAGACTAAGATCACAGCAAACAATAAGGATACAAGCAATCTTTTTCATACTTGGAATCTTTCTATTTTCAAATAAATTAATACATTAATTTTTTATAGAGCAGACCTCATTCTTAGCTGAGGGAAATGAATGCAGTTCTGCTGACAACAGTGAGGCTCTGCCACACTACACTGGCCAGGCTCTGAGCCACTGTGTCTCAGATCAGTAAGGGCACAAGATAGTCAGATGAGCCAAATGATCAAATGGAGGTCAGCTCTTAGGGGGCAAGTTAGAAACTGGTCTTGAAAAAAAATTTAAGCGATAACCACAAGTTTCTTTTGTATGATTTTTACTGGAAATCAGTTGAAATCTGATTGTAGTGAGGAACAGAATGACTTCAACATAGCACTACCATGTAGCTGGGGTTGAAGTTAGCTCATGTTGATGTTTCTCAGTTTTGAACATGTATGAAACTACCATCTTAACTAAGATCATAATAAGTGCCAATTTATTGGAAATATTCACCAGGATTTCCGAAGTCTTAGTTTATAAGGAAAGAAACTGAATTCCTTGTTCTGAATTAAAGAGCAAGTATAACCATTAGGTATTTGTCTATACATACCCCAATTTTCTGCACTGACTTCATTGGTTCCTTCTTGACTAGTTTGATATAGAATGCAGAAGGGAGTATGAAGATCAGCATGGCAGCAGCAGATGCACCTTTATTTGAAAAGCACAAAAATACTTTTTTTAAAAAAAACAGGTAAGCTTTAATTAGCTTGTAGCTGAATTTTCTCAGATTTGAAAGAAGCTCTGTACTTCTATGAAAATGCTTACCAATGAATCCAAAGATATCCCGAATGGTGGGGACGAAGATAACAAGCACATTGGTGAACGTCAGAAGAGCGAATGTAATTGCACAGTGACGCCACCATCTGAACTCTTTTCCTGCCCACAGCAGCTGGGTAATGGAACTGCGGATCTGTTGAAAGAAGGAAGGGAGGGAGGAAAAATAGAGAGAGAGATAGAAAGAACTTAGTTTTCTCACTGCAGTTTGTGACTATCGTTCAAACTCTCATTTTATTTTGGAGTCATTTCAATGTCCTGTCTCTGAAAAGTTTAGATTTTAATAGAAATTGAAAGGATGAAAGTAAAATCTGTTTTTTACGCCTTATTTCTTGCATTTGACAGGTAGCAGCCTTTATGTTTCTGGTCTGTTTTTCTGTTTCCCTTGTTAATTGTTTGCGGTTAAAGAACAGCAAATAAAACCCTGACTTTTATTTCTGTTATCTATTATTAAAAAAAAAAAAATCTAAGGATACTGCTCAATAATACATAGATAATTGGCCAAAATTCACATTCATGGTGTACAAGTGTCTGTCAGCAGGTTTTCGTTAGCAGGCTGATAATAACAGCGCGTAAGCACATTTAGAATTAACAATCTGATCCATTCCCCTCAATTTAATCATATTAGAAACACAGTGTAACCAAGCACATTTAAATTTACTGCTTTCTAAATGTTGCCTATTTATATAACTCATTTCAACTGATGACACATACGTATTTCATCCAGCTTAGAAAGATTTATTTTTTTCAGTTAAGGAGTAAAAATCTATATAATAATTAATGATAGTTGTCAAATCAGTAAATAAATGTAGGAGGACGGAAGCTAAAAATAAAACACAGTAGTAAGACTTTAAAAAAAAATTACTTACTGGGAAAATAACTACAGGTACAGTTAGGGTTACAGCCATAAGTACAGCAAGACGTACAATCAGAAGAAGAATATCAGCACCCAGATAAGCTGAGTAGGTATGAAGCAATTCTGGTTCAACATTTCCTATAATGAAAACAGTAGTTTAGGTAGATGCAGGTAACCTACTTCTCAAGCAGCTATTACTTCCGCTCAAAATTTTAAGTGTATTTTGCAGTTACAGCAACATGAATTGAAAAATTCCCTGTTTCTGTAAGCACGTTTTCATTTCAAACAGCGGTTATTTGCAGACATTGGATCCACTCTAATTCCATTCTACTACTGATTTCTTTTTGGGTGTGCACTTATTAAAATACTAAAAAAACGCAGTGTGCATTTAAAATTAAATGCATGCTTGCTCTAACTTAAAAATAGCACTGTGTTTCTGTATAGCATAATTCACCCAGAAGAGAACAGGGAAGGCAATATTCACCATAAAATGTCAGGTATCCAAAGAGAGCAGCCAATAAATACATGAGAAACATGGCAAAAAAAGAAACGTAGGACACATTCATCATTCTTTTACGGCTTCGGCTGTTTAAAGAAATAAAAAAGAGGAAGAGAAATATTGTTAGCAGTGAGAAGATAATGTTTTACAACACTTTTTTGGTAAAGTGAAATTAGAGAGATGTCCAACATTTACCTTTTCAGTTCTTCATAAATAGGAAGAATTGCAGGATGGCAGACAAAAGAAAATGTTAGGATTGGGACAGCATAGACAGTCTGAAAAACACAAATATGCTTTTAAGATATCTCAATGGAATCAGGTTTTGAAGAACTCATCAGTAAGTTTCCCATTTTTTAACTTAGGTATCTCCTTCAGGGATTCATAAAGACTAGCTGAATCTAATTGAAACTTTGGCAGATGTTTAAATAACAATTTCATGGATTTCATGGGGTTTTTAAAGTCCAAATCATGAGGTATCAAATACTCTCAACTCTCAATGAGGTCCATTCTGGACCGAATGTGCTCTGTATTTCTATGGAGACGCTCTGCAGCACATACATCTGAATCCTTATAGTCTGATCCTAGTATTGGCTATCACACAACACTTCTTTCTCACACTTGCAGATTCACCACTATGGTTACAAATAGCCATGAGCCAAAAATCTGGGACTGGGAATTTAGAACCTGATCCAAATCCTATCGTGCACTTTCCATTCACACACTTACACCATTTACTTCATCATCTTCTACTATCTACTTTTTTTTTTTTAATTGCCTTTTTTTCCAACACTTTTCTAAACTCCCTGAATGGAACTACTATGCTCTACATAAGACTTGAGAAATGCTGTGCTGAAGAATCTTGTGACAGGTGCTTATTGCCATTACCATGCACTCAGAGCACAGAAATACCTGATTGCAGGAGATGCCCAGTGCCTACCTCTACTGGAATTCAAAGTGTTAGCACATTCCCACTTCACATCATAATGGATAAAACGATCTATTTTGTACCTCATGTATATTCTCTTCTACTTATCTTCAACAGAGAGCCCTTTTTTAGCCAGTTACCTGTGAATTGAAGATGAAGTACTTTGGCTTGCACATGTCATCAGTTGTTATGTTTTTATCTATTAAAGGTATCAGTGTTGCATTTACAGTCATGTTCATGATGTCACTGTCCACAGGACAAGGAATCTGAAACATCTTCCAAATTACCTATAAATAAATCCATGTAGTTGTTATGTTCTTATCTAATGCAGTATGTGAGAACTTCCAGAAACTGTTCTTCATTTCACTTTGAAATGCAGTGTTGTAATCATTGGAAGACTGCAAAATCATACTTACAACAATCAGGAAGAAGACCATGCAGAGTAAGGAAAAGCCACTGGTATAGCCCAAATATCCTGTATTTGAGAAACAGAAAAAATAAAATCTAAGGTAAACAGGAACACATTCACGCCGTAACAACATTCTGATAGATTACTTCCTTTAAGTGATCCCGAACTGCTGATCTCTGAAATCTCCCAGACATACTGGATAAGTGTAGCAGTGATGGTCTGTACTATTAAATTCATTTCTTGGTTGTAGAATGTAGCAACTCAAGGAAGTGATTCACACTGAGACTCTTGGTTACGTTTAAGATTGCACTACAGTATTCTTTAAACGGACGATCTGTTATCTGAACTATTCACACATGCCATTGAATTACAGTCATTTCAGATAAAGCATCTGGTACAAATATTCTTCCACTGCTTATGACCAAAAATGAAAAAGGTGGCTGTTTACTTACATTGCAAAGACAATTTAACTGCCCAGTGGCCATCCAGGGCCAACATTCTTGTGAGACTGTTACGCAATGGCTAACCACAACTGTAAGGGACTTTAATGATTAACAATACTATTTCACTACTCTACAGAGAAGAGCAGATAAATCAAACTACAAAGACAGAAGGTACTGCTGACCCTCGTTCTAAAACTATCTGATTAGTTGTCCTTTTGCATTCCACAAACATATTTGTAACCTAAAGATACTTGTCTTAACATTTTTTTAAAAGAGACTCACAATAATTATCTAAACATTGACCAGTCAGAAGAGAGAAGCTGGAAGACAGCTGTCGATTCACATAGTACTCCAGGACTCCAACATGTTACTAACCCTTTTCCCCAAAGTATTTCCAATACAGTTTTACTTTGATTGTACTTTATGACTTACCTAAATTTTTCAGTAAGGACAGAGGAAGAATAAGAATGATGGACACCATCAGCACCAGGTAGTCACCATTAAGGTACCATTCTCTGTAGGAAAAAGGTAGTATATATGAGTAATCAAAGTATTTTAAGACTATGACATATGTAGCTTAGTCCTCACTTATATTCTCCTACAACATGCGGCTGCATCTGGCATATTCAGCTTACTGTATGAACCTAAAACCCTTCAGCTACTTTCCCATCTCACCCCCAAACTGCATTGTGCCTTTCCTTTAGTGCCCTTTTCTCACTGAGTAAGCAAAAAACAGCCAACTGGGATTAATCATAGAAAAGTATTATTTCTTTTTTAAAAAAAGTTGGTTCCCAGTTTTCCAAATGTATTAGAATGTTGCGGGGCCACAGCAGGGTAGTGATCCATTTTTAATGATAATACAGTTCTGTTGGGTGCTCTGTGGGACATAAGGAAAAACAGGTGAGGGCTGGAGTTAAGGCAGTAGCTCAAGCCTACTGGCTGAGAAAATGCCAATTGGCACAGGGCATCTACTAGGGGCACACTTACTCCCCTCTAATATAGAAACCATGTTAGGAAGTTTTGGTCATTTAGATCATTCTTGTTTATTCCACTGTGAAGCAGCAGCACTTTTTTTTTTTTTTTTTGCTTAATAGAGACTTCTGAAGTGTTTCAAGACCATCATCTCCATTCAAAACTCAGAAAAATCACGCTGAATCAGTGTAAACATCATTAAATGTCATTGAACGAATGGAAAAGCTGAACTGAATACTTAATAGTGGCGGGGTAACCAATTTCTTAATTTGATTCTTTAGATACATCCTGTATTTCTCTGTTAATCCCAGTAACACTTAAGTATTCATCCCAAATAAGAATAATTTAAATACTTTTGGATGATAAGTAAAAGGATGTATTTCAAAACAGACTGCATACTACTTTGGCAAACTAAAAGTATTTAATGGTCCTATTGGAAAGTGGGGCATTCGAACTCAATTGTTGAATTGCAAGTCTGTATGCACCAGTGGAAATTTGAAATAACAGACTTGCTCTGAGAAGTTGGTGATCTCTTTTCCAGCTTCACTTGAAACAGATTTAAAAATATAATTTAGAAATTTCAGATGTGTAAGACATTAATGTGATATTCCTTTCCTGGCTAGCCTTACCGCCCTCCTTTTATTAGGAAAGGGATTAGTTGCAAACTTAAAGGCAGCCAGAGTTCAGTACCATCGCACCTGACACAGCCACAACAATGTGTAACATCTGTGTGCACAGATTACATTAGGAAAATCAGAATTTTCAGATTTCTCTGTGCTGAAGAAAAAGAATGGGAATGTAAGTTTAGATATATATGGAGTATCTTAAAAATCATTAAGTGAATTTCAGTAATTGAGCTAATACTTGTTATAGTGCTACACAATTTCAAAATACTTTCTCCCATATTAAGCATTATTTTGGGACACTTAAACAGGTGTAAATGCTTACATTTTAGGCATCAGGCTGCCAGAATGGAATCCATGTCAATGGTAGCCATCCAGACTCCCCCATGCAATACATGGAGTCAGTTACCTTAAAATAGGGTCCACAGTTGCCGGCACACTGAGAAAAGATTTACTTTAAGTCAGCGTACAGCTACCTGTTGAATCACAGTTGATTTTGAATTCTCTGAAGAGGACAATTAAAAATTACTTGACTCCAAGCCCCCTCATTAATATCGTCTACTGCAAGGACTTAAATCTTGCCAAGTGAGAAATAAGGACTTGAATTCAGCCACAGAAGGGAAATGAACCTTCTTGGGAGGGAAAAAAATAAAATAAAAAAAATCATAAACAGTACATAGTTAAACAAATAGGGAAGGTGCTTTCTTCCTTTGAATGCATCATCTAAATTAAAAAAAAAAAGATAGCTAGCACCATCTTCCCTACAGTATTTATCATCAAACTGTAAGAACACCAAATGTCTTGAACCCCGTGGGGAACACAGGCAGAAAAATGCCTACCTTCTGAACTCAGGATTAGGTGTGAGTTGGAGTCTTGAGTTGCTCAGCCCTCTCAAGACTGGGCCACTTCAGGACAAGGCACAGAAGTACAACTCTGAAGGGTGAGATTTATAGCACTTAACTCTATCCATCTGAAGTGGGGCATCTTGTTTTAGATAGCTGTTTTGACACACTCTCACAGAACAGAGTGATTTGATAAATTGCTCTTGCAAGATGCCTGAAACAGGTGCACTGAACTGACCACTAGAGACAGTCACCTCTCTCCACTGATCAGAGAGACTAGATAACTAGTTCCAAGGAAATAACCATAACAGTGCGAAAGTTAGTTAACTCAAATGAACCCTAAATCTAAGGAACCAACTTCTAAAATCAAATGGAAAAGCCACTATGGAGTTCAGATGTTGCTGAAGCTAAATGATATTTTATGTGCCTATTATTTTGGTCTTGTTAAAGTCCAGTATTTAGACCTTATGCCCCCTTTCAAAAGCTGTCTTTTAAGACCTTCATTACAAAACTGCACTTTATATTCAAATAATCCCCACAACATTAACATCATAAAACCAAAATTATCAGCCCAGACTAGTTGGAATACATTAAAAAAAATATCATATTTACCTTCCATTACTGAGAATACATACTGACTAGTACATTCGTCAGCACTTACCTGACATGCTTTAAAGAGCAGTTTTCCGTAATATGATGCAATACCTGCATTTTTCTACCCTTTTCCCAGGACATGCTGGACCTATGTCAGATGGGACCACTCTGGGAAGGGCAAACTTACTGTATCTCTGTCTGAGTAAGAAGCTACCCTATGGTGTACCGAACGTGGTCTTCACATAAAAATGTATACAGTCTCCATATTTCTTTCTCCTAATAGTTTCTCTGATGAGGCGTTCTAACACCTACCCTGTGTTCTCTTCGATGTTCATAAATGTCTTGATGACCAATGGTAACTCATATTTCACTATGAAGAGGTAGCTTGACATAGCTGTAGGTGAATAACATCATAGATCATTACAAATATAGAATATGGCACAAGATGCAAGAATCACATAACATGTTTCATAACTTCACTTGAACACAAGCAGTTAATGAACACATGTTGTGTGAAAAATAGGCTCCAAGAATATATAGGGAATAATTATCATTGAAAGCACTGACATTTCTTAAATCTAATTCTCACCTCCAATGTTCTGCATTGTAATTGATCCAGAAGCAGCAAGTTTTCCAGCCATGCCAAATGCCTTCATTCCTAATTGTTCATACAATAAAGAGCCTAAAGAAAACAAAATAAAAGCCATTATATCCTTTATGCCATTACAGAGCCAGAGGTAGTCTACGCAAGTATAGCATGCAATAAATCTGTTTGTAAAATAATCATTTGTCATACCTCCTTCATTAGCAGTCTTCAAAAGGAGATGCACTGAATACAAAGAAAATATTGAGACAACTAGTAGGAGTATCCTAAGGGAGAAGAAAAAAGTTTACTTTCTAACAATCATAAATGACTCACCATAATCATATTAAGTTACTATTTCAGGAGAAAAATGGTAAAACCCATCATTACATTTTAAAAATCATATTATTAATACAACCTCAGGAAAAAAAAACATATTCTAATGCTATCTAAAAGTGTTTAAAACAGTTACTGCCTAGTTTAGAACGACTTGTACTAAAATTAATTTCAGAGGCACAGATTAAATATGCTTACATGGGAATTGCTAGTAGCTTG